CCTGGAGGGCCACAGCCCCTATCCCCCACAGGGCCCCAGCTCCCCCCATGTCCACAGCCCCCCGCCCAAGGTTCCAGGTATCTTGCAGAGCCACAGCCCCCCCTGCTCAGGATCCCAGGTACCCTGCAGGGACACAGTCCCCCACCCAGGGTCCCAGGTACCCTTCACGGCCACAGTCCCCCTGCCTAGGGCCTATAAGTTACCTTCTACAGCAGCAGTGGGAGTGGGGCACTTTGAGCCCACTGCTGCCAGCTCCCAGCTCTCATGGACCATGTGCCAAGCCCAGCTGGGTCCTGCTGGCCCTGGGGCTGCTCTGACACCCGACTGGGCCAGTCGCATGGCGGCAGGACCTGGCGTGGCATGCAGGGACTGCGCGTTGCGGGACCGGCTTAGCCAGGCAGCATGAGTGGCCCCAGGGCTGGCAGGACACGGTTGGGCTCAGCGCACGGGTCCTGCCACCATGGGACTGGCCCAGCCGGGTGGCAGAGCAGCCCCAGGGCAAGCAGTACCCAGCTGGGCTTGGTGCACAGTCCCCATGCACTGCACTGAGTCCCACCTATGGCCCTCTGTGCCTGCGGGGAGGTGGCACATGGTGGGACCCAGCACAGACCCATGCGGCTCGCTAGTCTGGCTTTGCACCGGAGTGGGTCACATGACTCTGGGAGGAGTGGCTCCTGTGCATGCCTCCCTGAGCCATGTGACCCACTCTGATGCAAAGCCGGACTAGCGAGCTGCACCTGTCTATCCCAGGTTCCTTCGCATTCCGCCAGCTTCACCACAGCTGCTCCGGCCACTCGCCCCCCGCCCCTCCCAACACCTTCCTGACATCCCCCTGCCACCCCTCACATCCAGCCACACCCATAAAGCCTCCCACCCCCATTCCCTAACTCACCCTGGACAGCACCACGGGCAGCAGGAGCACCAAAGAGATACTCTGGCCAAAACCAGAGCATTTCTTCTGGAGGACTGACTCCCATGCTGGCTCCAGCTGTTCTTCAGAGTGTTGTTTTTTTTACCCCTGGATATCTAGCGGTCTAATTTTGTCCCTGCACTGAAAACTTTCAGTGCAGGGAACATTTTTTTGTTCCCACACATGGCTCTTGACCCATCTCAAAGGGTTTTGAGATGGGGCAAGAGGCATGTGAGCACTCGTCTTGACACGGCCCATAAGATTTCTTTTGACCCAATCCTCCAATTTGTCTAGGTCAGTCTGATTCCTAGCCCTACCCTTCAGAGTATCTACTACTCCCCCCCCCCCAGCTTGTTGTCATCTTCAAACTTGCTGAGGATGTACTCTATGCCATCTTTCAGTTCGTCGATGAACATATTGAACAAAACTGGCCCTAGGACTGACCCCTGGGGCACTCCACTTGATACCAGCTGCCAACTAGACATTGAGCCATTTATTACTACTCTCTGAGCCCAATGCCCCAGTCAGTTTTCTATCTCCCTTACAGTCCATGAAAAAGTATAATTCTACAGAAATACAATGAGGGAGACTTGATGGGCAACAAAGCCTAGCTCTATGGCATCTCCATCTATACAAGTGCACATTTGGACATGGAGATGGGTTGAAAGAAGAATGAGACCAAGATCAATGGTTCAGTGATTCCTGGTAAAACTCTGCTGGGGACCAGTAAAGTCTATTTATCACTTAAGCCAAGTAAGGGCTTAAAGAGAACTTAAATAGTTCACAAACTTTAAGCATAAATCTCTACACAGAAATGAATTTCATCCCATGGGAATGCAGCATACTCTCTTGCCTTCAGACTGGAGTAGTGCAACTGTTTTAGATAAACTGATATTTGTCAATCTCAAAAGAATTGTGTCACCACTTTCACCTGACTCCTAGACTTCTCCTTTTGCTCAGCTTTTCTAGTCAGGCTTTGCAGATCTAATCTCAGCATCAGTTAAAGAAGCAGACACAGGTAGAAATTAGCATTTACATTTCTAGGTTTTCAAATCTAATCCATAGGTAGTGTATTTTCACATTGATGATTTCTTATCCCCATTTAATGTTGCCTTTTGATGTGGAAGCTGAATTCTAGAAAATCCCACACGTCTGACAATACCATCCTGAAAATCGTAGATTTAATTTCTCTCTTAATTTCATATTATTATAATATTATATAATAAAACTCCCTATCCTGTTTAGGGATATACTGACTTTGTTTCATATTTCAACCTTAAAAGAACAGTTTGAGAGCTATATTGCATTCCATCCTTTATGGCATGATGGCAGACGGGAGAATTAATAAGATTATTTGCTTCAGATCTCCAAGAAGGACAGGCTTCAGTAAGAATCTCCTCCCATCAGCTGATTGATTGTATTGTACAGGAGTTATCTGCAAGCAAGGCTAACTAACTATCCTTCCTGTGCAGGAGTAAATTAGTTTAGAGGAAAACTGATGAAAGAAAAAGTCTGAAAATGCAGTTTACAAGCATCTTTCCTGTGTGAAGTTTCCTCATGATAAGACGGATACCAACTGCTTATTAGATATCAGTTGGAAACACAGAAAAAAATAAAGCTGCTAAATCAGAAATTCAAGCTGGGAACACACAGATGGAATGGCACTAATACAAGTGAAAGGCATGACACTGACTACCATGGCCATTTATCCCCTAAGAAACAGTTAGTATTCCACCTGCCTGCGGAAAAATGTGTTTGACATAGTTTTTATAAAATTTAAATCTTTTATTACTAGTATTTGTCCACTGGTGCATTACAGCAAAGTAGGACTGCCAGTTAACCCAAAGGCATCAGCATTTCTGAGCAAGCAAAATATTTTAAATGTTGCTGTTGGGAACACCGAAAGGGTTATAAATTAATTAGATAGCTAACCTTCATTCTTCATCCACGTACCTCTGCTTTGCAGTTCGGCTGTAAGTTGTCTTTCCAAGCTCTCTCTGAGTTCTCTCTCTCTACAAAGCTCCATCTTTAACTCTTTCTTTTCTTGCTGTATCTGTTTTTCCTGGACTCTGGCATTGTCCACAGCCACTTTCAACAGACCCTAAAAACACAGCATAAATCATCAGTTTATTGATGATATTGTTGGGGGAACAGAAAAATGAAGAGAAACCTGTAGAGTTTTGCATGCACCTGAAAAAAATGGAGCCACTGTGTTATATATACAGCATTTTATACTCTATGAAAAGGGGGGAAGCCATTCAAAATAACTTTTGAATTCATTCTGCTGATGGTGTTTATTATACATTGGGTAATGTGACTTTCAAAACTTGACAAAGTGTACAAAGAAAAGGAAAGAAGGTGAAGGTGAAGGAGAAGAGAAAAGGAAAAGGAAAATAAGATTAACTTTCAACATGGCATTTACTTCCAACCATTAAGTCAAATAGACAACTCAAAGAATATTGCAAAAATTTTAAGAGCAATGAAGTCAGTTATTCAAATTCAAAGTACACCTTTAAAGCTACTGTTTTAAGAAGAAAGTCAGAATTTCAGGAAAAAAATGAAATTCTCAAAATATTAAGAGATGTTTGAATAAATACAAACCTAAAAATTCCATTTTTCTTCTATATAATCATAAAAATAAACCCAAAATATATTACTACTAATCAGAAAAAAATAACTCTTACTGTATTTTGAACAAAGCACCAAGTACCATATGCTTTCATTTTCTTATGTCTCCATTTAAAATGCATGTGACACTTCAAATCCTTCTTAACCAACATGATGTAACATAGAAAATATGGATTACTCAATTCCAGGTAATATTTTATCTACATTTTTACCTCTGTTCCAGTGAAGAATAATTTACCTGAATGTTGGTTAATAGAGTTTCTACCGATGAAAGACCATCAGCAAAAAGAAATGGTGCAGGAAATCCAGGAGGCAAGGTCTGTCCAGCCAGTTGGACTTTATCTAAGGTTGGTTTCATTATTGGAATGGCAATTTGGACCTCTTCTGTAAAGACATATTAAAACAACATCAGCAAATTCAAGTATCAGAAATAGTAATTTTCCTTTCCATGTAACAGGCATTTCTAAAAGTCAGGGCCTGATTCACCTTTGAAATTAACATATATGCTGTAACAAAATAAACCATTATTTAAGTCTTAAGGTAAAAGGATTGTTACTGTTAAGGATGAAAGTAATACCAGCTGAAGAAAATCAATGCTAAGTAAACTGGGGGAGGTTGTACAGGTATTGTGTTATAGCCCAAATGCCAGAAATATCCCGCTGTATTACAGAAATATAGCTATCTTGCACAGTCTATTAGATCTGAATTACTTTTCATTAATCTGTGATGTTTGTTATTCTGTTATGAACAATTGGTTTTGGCTAGAACCTTAAAATCCCTCTATAATAGGGAATGTATCATTTCTCCTTCTTCATTTTAATTTTCTCCTGCCTAAGTCAGTGACAATCTCCTCTGAGCTATTCCTTTTTGCCTAAATGACACCAAGTGTTAGTTGGTGATCTTGTGTCAATGCAGATTTTCCTATAAACTACCTTGCTACTCTCAACCTTTCAAGTGACAGGCATTAGCTAAAAAAGTTTTGTTGAGGTAGATATTTTGCTACCTCAGGTTAAAGCGAGTTGTCTCACCTAAGGTCATAGACATGCCCAGAAAGAGGAAGCATGTACTTCGCGCTGGGTCAGTCACTAGCAAGGTGGTAGTAGCATAGCAGAATTAGAGCCTGGCTCCTGCAATTTCAACACATAGCCAGATTGGACTTGTCTGTTACAAATTGTCCAATCTGGGCTCCCCTATTTGAGATGCATCATGGTGTCTAGAGAAAATATAAAATGGCTTTTCATAACCCCATTTATTCCTTAAACTTTAGCTATCAATTAACATTATAACAAAGTCACGTTACAGAGCAACAACCACACAATTCAGCTCCTTTTACACCTCTTTAAACCCTTCCTCTACAAGCTTAAGTATGAGGCTTATTGCTGAAACAATTAGATGTTTAAAACAAAAATCTCTTCACAGTCATTTTACATCATATGATGCCCTGTAAACTATTTGAATAGTTTAATGAAATGCTTTAAAAATATATCTGTGTAATGTTTCAGTGAAATCCTATCCTAAAAATATTCCTTTAACTTTGGCACTTTCAGAAGCTATGAAGAACATCTTCACAGCAACTGCTTTTTAGTAAAGCTTGAAACTAATATATTGACTATAAATTTATGAGGCATGTGTTTGCTAAAATCAGCTGCACAACCACTCCTGATATTTTCCTTTGTCAAGTGCCTTGGTCATATTAATTCCAAGATTTACAATTAAACTACATCATATTCACAGGGCCTTCTTTAAAAAAAACAAACAAACCAGACAATCAGTCTTTAGTTACAAATAACAAATTAAACTGAAGACTCATTGCACACGTAAAATTATGTATCTTGATAAAAAAATTCCAAAGACGTCTTTGGAGTAGCAAGCTATTTCTGTTATATTTCTGAAATACATTTGCTGACAAGTGATTCAGATTGCAAGCAGTTTTCATGTATTCTTTGACATCTATATTTAAGGAGTATTTGTTTTCACTATGTAAGTACGTACAATGGAACATCTTGATAATGATTCCTAGTATTAATAATAGCAAAAGTCTGCAACATCTTTACATCTTTGCAGAGCTGGATTATCTATAGTATAAATGATCTATTTTTAAAAGACTCTGGTTACACACTCAGAACACTGAGTTCCTGCTGATTCAAAGACTATATACTGTTTCTCCTGTTTAAATATTTTATATAACAGATAGAGTTCTTAAAATTAATTGATTAGTTGCTGCATATGATACTACACAGAAATAACATCTATGCTACACAGTTTAGGCAGACGAAACAAAAGTGGCATTTGAAAAGGAGTAACGCATAAAGTATGCATAATGGAAAACTATAACTTCTTTAAAATATCTAGAAATCTCTGCTATTTGGAGATGGAAGTAATACTATTAAATTGGCTGAAAGGAAAATTACTATTGACTGTGAAGACAGGTTGCATGGTCTATGGCTTGTAATGTTACTGTACAGTAGATTGAAGTTTCAAAATAGTATTACTCTTCTTTAAAGAGATAGACACAGCTAAATTAGGTGCTGCTTGCTGCAGTGAGGATCAAATGCAAAAAGAATCATATTTCATCAGACCTAGTCAACACCAGGAAAATAAATAGAAATATAAGAGGTATGCAGGCAATGATTCATTTTGATAATCTGGCCCAAGAGAGACACATAGAGACAGCACACAGATCTAAGCTTCTAGCAAAAGACAAATAGGACACAGAGGGTGGGAATTGGGATGACAGTATAGCAGAGGTCACATCGATTTTCAGCAGCAGTTTTCACACAGATGAGATAACCCTGGACTCTATTTGGCCCATTGTTCATATCCTACCTGTCCCACAAGCAATAAATTTCCTAGTCCCAGGAAAAGGGCAGTAAAGAAGAAGGATTCTACTTATGACTTCTTATGATTAAGTTTTTGTGCTAACCAAACATGCTTTGCAGACCAAGGTCACATTGCATGTTAAAGTCTGTAATAGCTGAAAACTAGTAGAAGCATATTATGTTTTAGTGTATATGGGTGGAAACTGTCAAACCATTTATCATTTTTTTCTGATTGAAATCACACACTGCAAAGATGAATGATAAATGCATTAGAAATCTATTTCAATCCTGTAATAGGTCTTCACATGTGAATAGTGTCTACATTTTGTCCACATGCTGAATAAGTGCACAGTTAGGCAGAAATTTATTACCCAGGGTTGAGAAGTCCTAATTGGCAAAGCAATTAAAATGGGCAAGTGCTAGAAGTGTATTTTGTGGATTAAATAAGTGCATCTTTTCATAGTAAAAGGAGAAAGGTTTTGATTGAAGCATGATGATTTTAAGAGGTGCATGTTAAAAGCTGAATTCATGCACAAAACACAATAGAATAAACAAGAAATCAAGCTAGGACAACTACTATCTAACCAAGGACACAAACAACCTTTCTATTTATTGAGGCAAAGGGAAGACTGCTTTTATTGAGCCTGTTTGTTAAACCTGCCATACTTCATAATAGCATTCAGGAATCTATTTAGAGAGCAGTCTTTTTATTTTAATTTCTAGCTGTGGTTCTGATAAATAGACATATACGTAAGCAAGAATTATATCGCAGCAGAGAGAAATATACAGTAAATACTAAGAATGAATGGAATATTACCCATGGAAATTGCATTGAAGGCTACTAGAAAGTTTGTTCTTGATTCAGCAAACTGCTGTATTTCATCTTCTGTCTCCTTAAGCATGGGAAATAAGGATTGGAAAGTGAAACTCCAGCCTAAACACAAAAATCAGGATTGGGAATAGAAGATGCATGACAGCACAAATAAAATTGGCCAGCAATTTTATTAACTAGCAGGTTTGTGCTTTTCTGTTCTAAAAGCTTTCCTTTAATACCGTTAGATATGCATCTTGTATATTCAATATGTCACCTTCATTTTACACAGGCTAGCAGAAAGCAGGGTAGATCTGCACTTTGTAGACCAACTAAATCAGAGATGCGCAAGCTTCTGTACTAACGAGTTACAAGCAAACCGTTTAAAGCACTATTTATAAACATTTAAATATTCATAAGCTTACCAGGTTGCCTTCCCCCCATTTTGTGCCTGTTTTTCTATAAATATGTAGAATCCTTGCCTCAAAGCATTTAGCATTTAAGAGATAAGATATAACATATGGATGAGACAAACAAGTAGGTCTAGATAGAGAAAGCAGGGTGAAAAACGTAATCGTGTATGTATAGTCCCTAAGCTTTCCATATTCTTATCACAAACTGCACGACATAATGGCTTTCCTTAAAAGTGGATTGAGGATATAATTTAAAAAACCCAAACAAACATTTTTCTAATGAATCAACAGGAATGGACTAAAACCTGTCACTTCTGAATATATTAGTTTCACTTTCAAAAACATTTTAAAGATGAAGTAAAATTGGCGTTTATAGTAGGATCAAACCTTATTCTATTCTATAATCAAGTGTATAATATGTTAAGAAAAGATGTCAGCAAGTGTGTGAGGTTGAGCGGCTTGTCTGTGTATGTGTACTTGTGGGAGATCATGACTGACGGCATCACAGTGACTAGTCCTATAACACTTGTTGCGCTGTGTTAACATCACGTTTCTAATGAAATTTCATGGTTTCAAGACGCCAAACAGTTCTTTTTAGGGATCAAGAATGCTCAGCTGGGTTTTCTGGGTTTTTGGCTTTTCTCTGAAGCATCAGAGTAGCCACAGCTAGAGATGTGAAACTGCATGGGATGACTAGTGGGTTGTGAAGCAATACAGAGACTCCATTCAACACTGTGGTCCCTCCCATGCTCATGATTTTCCTGCTCACTCCCTTTGGGCATCACAAAAGAACTGTCCCCTAGCTCAGATTACAAGGGACCTTGCTTTCTTCTGGGAACCTGGTTCGCCAGCAGCGATCATTCTGGCATATCTGTTAATCGCTGCAAAGGTTTGGGCTTTGGTGCCAGACTGGTATTCTTTGCCTGTGGCATGCTAGTTAGGGTATTCAAATGAACCAGCAGAAGTTAAGCAGCACAGTTTAGGGGGTTGGAAGCCCTCTGTACAAGTGTTCATTTGGCCATGATTTGACTGGCTGGCTCATGTCCTCAATCTCCACAATACACACTTCCTCCCTCCTGCCCAGCTGGCGGATGTTCAGACAGCAAATCCAGATTGTACCTACTGTCTTCAAAATGAAAACTTCCCTTCCAGCACCCCATCAATCCTTACCCCTCTGGCACCAGTCAATGGACCCAGTTTCAGTTCAGGTCAGGTGAGTCTAGTCAGGGTCAGATGCTGCTGTGTTAGGGTTGGGTGCTGATGGGTCCAGGTTGGGCCAGTCTAGTTCTGTGGAGGAGGTGGGTTTTGGTCTCCAGTCCAGCAGGGCCAGGTCAGGTTGTT